TTTGCAAATCTTCCCACATCGTGACGTAGGTATGTGGGGGCGTGTTAGAACGAGCCATTTTAGGTAGGCGTGATTGACTCTTAACTTTTATAAAGAATATCTCTTTGTATTTGAGACTTTAGTCTTTGCAACTTTACAGATCTTCTTTATGCACCAAGAGCTTGTAACACTCCAAAGAGAAAGGAAAAATTTAAATTGCATCATATGACCCCTTTAAGGACACAAGCTTTTTATTTATAAGACTGAACACAGCACTGATGAATCAGAACTATCTGTTTTATAATTAAAATACTACACTATATTTGTAGTTTTAAATGTAGATTTTCTTAAGAAATATTATTTAACTTAACTATAAATGTTGTAATGTACCAGGCAAAATTGTTATTTAAAATGGAAAAAATGGACAGGGACCAATACAACCCCTAACAACGGCCCTACTGGAAATATATAATTAATTATTTCAGAGGAAACTCTGTTATGCTCTGCCTTGTTTGTGTTCTTAATCAGCATGCTCCCTGAATCAGGAGCCATAAGAGATTTTGAGGACTACAATTACATATTATATAAAGATATAAAGACAAGATGCAATAATTTACACATATTGGTCATTTGCTGGTATACAAATATGTTGTCTTTTCTCTTATGACAGAGAAAAGACATTTGCTTTGTGAATTTAATTTATGAAATTATAGGTGAAGAGAAATCCAATTTTCTTTCACGATGTAAAATTGTGCCAGAAAACCTCCTGTGAGAATCTGTGCGGAGCCCTTTAAAATGACTGAAGCCATAACACGACGTTCACTCACCCCGAATATTTGGGGCTCCCCCTTTTCGATGCTGTCTCGCAGAGCTTTTTGTTTGTCTTGTAGCTTTTCCTCTACCTGAGTTGGGCTAGTGTTCACTGACAGGTCCGTCGACACGGTCAAAGTCATCCTTCGTTTTCAAGTAAGTGAAGTTTGTAATAACAAATGCGACAATGATGAGCACGTCTTTAAAGTAATGTCAGATACTTTTAAGTACAACAAACTCGATGTTCACGCAGAGCGGAATTCCACATGAATAAGTGAGACAGGCTGACCTAACAAAAAAAGTCTGTAAGGATTCTGCACGATCTTTTGAGTTATTTGTTGTGTCCTGGCTGCACTCGTCTCTTAAGCGCGCAACAATCCCAAGAAAAAGATCTGGGCTTAAATTCTGTCTGCAATACAAAAACAGTTAGACCCACCCTTGGTTTTTATGCAAGCATCACAAAGAAAAGGGGTCTGTCCAGCCCTCTTCTCCCCATAGGAGCTTTTATTACGTGTTTTCGATCACTTCATAAACAGCTTTCTGTTCCCGTCAGCCACGAGCTTTCTGTTCTCACATTCGAGGTGAGTCGGTCGTGCATTATTTTAATAAAAATTACATTTGACCGGACATGTTTATCAGTAACATATAACATAGTCTACTTTATATATTCATGAGTGTATTTTTTTTTGGTGATGCCTGAAAATTGTTTTTAAAAAGTGCATTTAAATTGTGTAGTGGCTTGCAATGGTTATCGTGTGTATTTGTGATTGTATGCTATACAAATAAATAAAAAAGGAAACTGGAAGGAGCTGTTTTGGACATCTGGGCAGTCCAACCCACTTAAGGCAATGCATGTAGTGTACTATTTTTTTTTTCTAGCCCTAACCCTTTTCCTCTGCAGTGCTGTTGAGCAATCAGGATTGTATCAAGCTGTGCTGCTCTTCTCTCCAGACACATTTTCTATATTATATCCGCCCACTTCCTCTCCTCACAAAGATGTTTTTCTCCACCAGCATCTGTATTCCTGCGATACATTCCATTATTCCAGGGGGATCAGATCATGTTTCATACAACTCTCTCACTATTATCTCAGTCTGTAAAGAGCCATTATAATCATTGATCTGGACTTTGAAATGTCCCTATTTTTCAGTACCTCAGTTGCGTTTTAGCTGGGTTTTCAAGATGTCAAGCAACCAAATGCCGTCTGCTGACTCGGATCCTCCCAAATTCCATCGCCTGTTCAAGTTTTATGACCCTGAAGTGGTGGCAGTAAGTGGATGTGGGCCAAATAAATTGTCATTAAGGAAGACAGATAATGGTAGTTTGGGATCTTACTGTAATCATGCTGTAATAGTTTCATTTGAGATGTTTTGCTTAATGTTGTTGTTGAAAATATGTTTGAATTTTTACTCTCACCATGTGTTTTCCCTCTCTAGCTTATGGCAATATTACTAGGTTTGTTCCAGCTCCTCCTGACTATACCAACCTACAACATCAGCATTGATATAAAATATTTGTTTGTGTGCCCCCTCTGTGTTGGTTCTGTGGTATGTTTATTTCACTACTAAGATACTGTAGTTGTTATGGTTTTAAATGATTGTCATACTATTATGGCAAGTTTACTAAAACACAAAATACATAAAATGATCATACACCAAGCAAACATATAAACATATAGCGTAAAGTCCCATTAATAATTTTCGTACAATTGCATACTTTCTTCTGACTATTTAATGTAAGATCAACTTTCTCTTCTTATTCTGATGTTTTTTATGTAGTCTGTGATTGCTGGATCATTTGGTTTGACATCTGAAAGAACTCCTAAGAGAGAACTGGTAAATTCAAGTAACTAGAGCTCCTTATTGGATGTGGATTGTTAAACTTTATTCTGAAGTATAAGCGATTATCTGTTTTTCTCCCTCTAAGTTAAAAAACTCTCTGATCTTTGGTCTTGCTGGCCTGGTGGGGACACTGATTGGTCTTATTCTGTATGCTTATGCTGCAAATACCTCTCTGGACATCCCTCCTTGCTCACTTGAATCCCATGAAGACGATGCTTGTCCACAAACAATCTTTCAAGTAAGTGAAAATTATTGATTTATCCTGCCATTAGCCAGTTATACAAAGGAATATAAAAACTGGCCTGTTTAACACATTAATATCTTCCTGCCTACTTCAATATTTTAACGCCAAAAGATGCCACTAAATTGCAAAAGAGCATAATACACATTCTGTGCTGTGACACACTATTTTTGTCATGGTTAATAGAGAATGTATACGCCACAAATAACATATTATCAAATACTTCTATGTTTTTTTCTGATATTTATTTAACATGAACTCAATAAATCTTCTCTTTTTGTTTTGACAGAGTTTTTACAAAGTGATCTCTGGGCAGCTGTTGTTTTATGATATAGCAGCTCTGGTTCTTCATTGTTTCCTATCATTTTCTGCATTTAAAGGACTGAGAATACACTAAGATTACATTATCCATACACCTTCTCTTTTGGGCACAGATTTTTTACGAGCATTTACTCTTTATATTTAAATTAGTATTTTGTCTCTAAATCCTAATCATTGCTATTGTTTTTCTATCTTTGTTTTTTTTATCTTAAAAATGTGAATTTACAATATTGTCATGTACAAAACACATATTTGGAAGTCTTTGTGAAACTGGAGGCATTAACTTACACTGTAAACATTTTACCTGCTATTACTGAAAATGTAAGATTATTTGCTACTTTATTATTATTATTAAGTAAAAAAAAAAAAAAAATGGTGTCAAAGTTACAACCTTGATGGTATTTTCGACCACTTTGTTTCATTAGCCATGAAATCATTGCTATGAAACGATCAATGAAACTCTGAAAGCTCATAAAATCACAAATTACTTTGACAAATGAAATGGATATAATCAAATATGTAAAATAAATGATGAAAACGTATAGTTTTAAAGTGCCTGTAATTCCAAGCGCTAAATTAATGTTCTGCTATGGGTGTCTCTTTAGTGCTTATATTTGTAAATCTGTAAGACAATTATTTCTGCAATATTAAACTTCTATATTAAAAAAAAATGTATGTTGCCTTTCTGGTGAAATATTAGGACCAACCCTACTGCCATGTCACATAGGCTATGGAATATTCCCGTCACATCGAGATATTTTTGGTCACATCGGGGTTTCCCTTTCAGTCAGCTGAACATACGACGATACCATATAAAATCAATGTTAGGGGAACGTTATGATATTTTCACGAAAGGATGAGAATGTCTTTTAATTTTCTGCATTATAAAACCTGTATATAGTTATTTAATCTATACTCCAAAACTAAATGTGATATTCTTGACAAGAAATGTAAATTGTGTTTTTAGACTGTTTTAAACATATCTCACTTCCCTCGACAAAATCCACAATGGTTTCATCCAAAGATGGCTACGATATCTGTCAACGAGAAGTGAAACTTTCCCTTAAGAATAGGAATATACCCCGTCAGTTAACCTTCATTTGGACTATTTTGCTTGAATTGACATCGATGCGGTTTTACTGGACACACATTATTACGTTTTTCTGAGTTGTTATTTCGTCCGACGCCGTTTTGTATTGAATACCAACCCGCCTTGCTCAACTGCTCTCTTTTAAGTGAGCTAACCGCGGGGAGATTCCTGTCTCCGGGAATAATTTCGGGAACATATTTCCACTTTGCCGCGCTAAATAACGCGCTACACCTGGTACCGATACTGTCACCTAAGTATTTCTCGCAGGAAGCGGGTTTTAACGCCGAGGACGCTCGCGAGGTAGTTGTCAGGCTCAGCACTTCCGTCTACATCTTTACGTCACTCGCTTCCAGTTAAGTTTGATGTTTTTCCATGAGCACTGTGCGGAGAGGACTTTGATTTGCTTGTACCTTGTAAGTATTGGGGGATTCTTTAAGAAATACCAAACAGGTAGAGTTAAGCTTAGGTTCATTAGCATAATTCCTAGCCATACTTTAAGTAATCCACTGTTACATGCACTGTCTGAATGACAGATGACTGCCATAGGTGATCCAGATTACCTATCAGTTTTCAAGTAGTGGTTTGATATCCGAAATGACACCTACCAAGTATAAACTGCTAGCCTGGTTCAACTTAAAAGGATCTTTTACCCCAAAATGTAAATTCTGATATAATTTACTCATGTTTTTTCCTAACCTGTATGGCTTTCTTTCTTTCGTGGAACACACTATGAGATGTCAATAGCATGCTGGTCTTATGATTAAGATGAGCTGTAATGTAATAAGTAAATTATTAGCACACATAAGTAAGCTCACTGTTTATCCTTAGCTGTCCTAGCAAATCAATGGAGAAGCTTCAAGACCTCAACCAGTCCGAGTTGCAGGATTTGCTGGACAACTCGGAGCGGGTGGAGTCTATGGCACTGGAGTCTGATGAGGTAAGATGATTATGAAGGGATAGTTCACCCATTAATGAAAATTCTGTCATTATTTATTCGCCGTCATGTTATTCCAAACTTATTTCATTGTTCTTTTTCCGTGGAACACAAAAGGAGATGTTAGGAAGGATGTTAAAGGGGTCATATGACATTGCTAAAAAAGAACATTATTTTGTGTATTTGGTGTAATGAAATGTGTTTATGTGGTTTAAGGTTCAAAAAACATTATTTTCCACATACTGTACATTATTGTTTCTCCTCTATGCCCCGCCTTTCTGAATCGCGTCGATTTTTACAAAGCTCATCGTTCTGAAAAG